TTATAACGAACTAGTGGTGCACAGACTTTCCCGTATTAGTTTTCTATTTTCTCTGGTTTCGGCTAGTCATATGAACATCCCCCATACTCTTTCCAGATGCTATCTATCGCTGCTCAAATTACATTTTTTTGTTGATTTTTTAATTTTTTTTTTGGTTTCGTAATAATAAAACGGAAATATTATTTTATGATAATTAAAAAACAGTAAACCTTCGTCTTTAATTTGAAATTTTCTTTGAAAAATTGGGAGCCATTTTTTTAAAAAAAGGGCTACTGTAAATTCGAAATTGAAAACTCTTTTTACAGGAAATTTTTGAGTTTTCGAAAAACTTCATTTGAAGTACTTAAACTCACAAACGTTGTAGTGTTTACACATTGCTGGAAATGTGTATATTAATGGTCTGAGAAAATATTAGATTTCCGTAATTTTTGAGATATCCCTAAATGAACTTTACGTCGTTTTAAAGAACGCAATTAGTACTACCCGTGCGAAATGTTTGAACGAAAAAATTTGAGTTGTTTTTGAGAAAATGGCGTTTAAGCGTTCCTAAAAATGGGAAATTTGGAACTAGTTTTGACAGAAATCGGTTGAGTTTTCGAGAAACTTTACATGACATTATTTAATATAAATATAATAATATAAATATAATAATTATAGAGTACATTTAGCACTATCCCTACCAGAAGTGTAAAGAAAAAAATTGAAGCCTTTTTTGAGAAAATCAAGAAAAATTTTCTTTCCCATGTACATACGTATATTACTTCGTATATACGTATGTATACGGGAAAGCAAAATTTACTACCTTTGATCTGGAGCATTTTCACTAACATCTCTCTCTCTCTCTCTCTCATGTCTTGCCCTGTTTTTCTGGTTTTTAGTAGAATCTTTGAGATCATAAGCCATTGAACAATATTTGTAATACCAAGGTTCATTTATTTTTTTCAACCATTGTAGTACACAATTAATTCTTGGACTTTTCTGTACATTGTCGTAACCCCGCGACGGGTTGCGCTGTCGGGATGGGTGAGGACCAGGACCACTATTTATTGAAGAAAACCTAATCAAAATATGTATGAAGTATACATTTGACCGAAAACAAATGAACTGGCATAGGATTGCATTGAAATACAATGTGTTGAGCAGTTGGCAGAAAGCATGGAGTCCATCTGTGCAAGTTAACTGTTTTGATGTGGCTACCGTGTAGAGAAATTAAGAGTTGAACGTTCGCAAGAACCTGACTTCATGCGGAAAAAGCGAAGTATTTTATACAGTTTGCAAAAATGTATAATTTTGGAAAAGCTAACAGTTGTGAAAGTAAGTTTTGTTGTTTACCATAATTAAATATTTTAGTAAAAATTATGTATTTTTTAGGAATGAACTTTGCTATTACATTTGTTGATTATTGATTATTGTCATATTTAATTATACTACCGGACGCTTTCCTCTGTCTTCTTTTGGTTTAATTCTTCTTCAAGCTCATCAAACATCCTCACCATCAGTAGTACCCATTCCAAAGATAATAAATAATTAATACTTTCAGATAAATATTTCATTGATTTTGATCCGGAAAAGGTTTCCTGTGTCTAAAGAATTAGAAATGCCCTTCACAGGATTGGGAGGAGGAAACATGAAAAATATACGGGTTCAAATACACTAAACATACGTTGACAAGGGCAAGCTTGAAGCATTGATTGATTCAAATTACTAGGTGAATGATGTACGGTGCTACATCAAATATATCCTCAGCAGTTTTCGTTGCGCTCTGATAGATAATCTGAGATCATCCTTTCATTTGATGTACCGATTTTATAGGTGCAATGGAAATGTGTATTGAGTAGTGGGCAGCCAATGGGGAAGGGGACTCATGGAGCTTCATCACAGAAACAGATGGCATATTCTAACAAGTATAGTTTAAACTAATTTTTCGAGAGTAACGAAAGTCATTCAGTGTTTCATTTGAACAAGATGTAAATAATTATAAATCAACATATAAAAACAAATTTTTATTCAGCATAAATGAAATAGTGTGCGCCACTTTGAACAATCCATGTTACGCCATTCATATTGACTGATAAATTACCTTTGTTTAGCCAGCGGGTCATAGTTGGAGGAGGTTAAGAAACCTTGCTCTAGCGTCCACTTCTGTGTGCTTCGTTGCGCGGCCGCCAGGGCGACAACATCCGTTCCCGCCACGCGACGCTGGAGTCTCCGGAGGCGGTGATGGCGGCGGTGCGGGAGGCGGACCGTAGCGCGCTGGCGGTGGAGGGGGTGGGGGTGGGATCGCGCCAGCACATGCACACGCCCTCTCACGACTCCTCAGGCGGCGACAGCGACTTCTTCGCCGTCGCTACCTGCCGCAAGAAGCACCGCCGCTACCACCCGGAGGCCGTCGATGTACGTACTATACGCGCAATTGTTTTTGATATTACACAGTGAGGGTTGCGGGGAAGGGAGGGCTCTGGCTACGTCACGGCCTAAAAGGATGTACCAACTGTGGGCATGATCATAACGCGACAGAGTGTGTTATGCGAAATGCTACGATTGTTTTTAAAGTACGAGGTAGATGTTGCCAGCATTGTAAATTTGTAAGTGCTGTTCCGAGTTGAACCTAAGAATCTCACCGTGCCGTGCAACGCGACAGCACTGGGTGAAGAATATACTGCGATTTTTTCATAGCTGCCTGTGACGTACATCAGCTGTTTCTGTGTCATCCAATCGGAAGGTTGAACGCCATCGTAGTGATGTCACTGTTGTGACGTGTAAGGTCCCGATTGGAAAGCATCGTAACAGTTTATGGCCTGCCAGAGGCAGCTTTGAAAAAATCGCAGTGTAGGGGGCTTGTGTATCAAGAAACCATGCGCGAGCAATACACATCCGGGGGGGGGGGACTCAGTCTATCAATTTCAGCCATCGCGACTCGATATAACAATACCCCTCCCCTATTTCACAAAGGGAGAATAAGTTTTATTTCGAGTAAAGTTGGAATAGGGGCAACTTTGCTTTGTTCAGACCAGTGGACGATTTTTTTTACTGGTTCTAAAACAGTTCAGCATCGCCTAAGACCGGGTTGCTCTGTGAAATTTGTATGCCAGCCAGATCAGTCCAGCCCCAACTGTGTCTCAAAGTGTCAGTTCAGTGCGTAGCTAGCTTATTGTTAGAAGTTAAGGATAGTTTTCGCGAGTAATTTACATTAGTTCGATATCGTCACTCAAAATAAAAATGTAAGAATACAAATTATGTTGTCAAGCAGATTAAAATGTGTCCGCGTGTTAAGTCATCCAACGGACGTAAAAAAACAGGTCAAAACACTGAGTTTCAATGAACATGCAGTGTTTACTTTCATCACATTTGTAAGGAAACTCATAATAAACTAAATTTTAATCAATTTTTAATATAAATAACATTTATTCAAAAGAAAGTTATATAGTGAACGTTTCTAGCTACATAAATAAATTGATTTCATGTGAACATTGTCTAGTAGTCAGAATGACAAAACATTAAAGGAAGTACCACAGCCCTAACACAAGTTAGTCAACATTTGATAAATAAATGCCAATCATTTCTATATGTACGGCTACGTCTTCCAAAATGATTTAGCAGAAATAATTTTACCATATTAATAAGTTGATCCTATGGATATTATCTACAATGTGTTTAAATTTCATGGTGATTGATTTCGTACTTTCTGAGTTAAATCGTTTACAGATGTCATATAGACGGGCTGACGGCCAATCATTTGATTTGACCTGTGATTAGTTTTTGTAATCGAATATGCATGTTGAAAAAGTATTAAACGCTGAAAATTCCGAATTCACAGACGAACACTTCACATTTATTTATCCGTATTGATTCATTTGTTCACTTTAATTGGTATGGTAGCATGTAAGTGTCAGAAATACGTTGAATCTTGTTGTTTCATTTATGTAGTAGTGTTTGCAAATGACTGCTTTCCTCCCTTTATAAACCTCGCACGAGCAGCCCCAGCGGTCTCCGTCCGGGTAAACTAGAGCGACAGTTATACTCGCCACAACTCGGTGAGTGTAACTGTCGTAAACAAATCCGCTGGCTCCTGATTTTCTTCGGTATTCGTGATTGTGATTGCAATATTTTGTCCTCGTAAACTTGTACCGCGCACAGTTTTGTTAAACGTGTGTAACTTTCTTCCGATAGCGTGAGACACGGTCAATTCGAAAAGTAAAACTGGGCGTTGAAGAGTGTCTTGTGGTACACTTAGCGTACTTACAATAATTACAACAAGTACTCACACTTAAAACCGGAGAGTCGCAAATCCGAACGAGCGAACGTGGCACGTATTCCGAACGGAATGGTTCACTTTGCGGTTACTGCAATTGCCTGAATGTCGCGGACTTTAAATTCCATGGAGCAGGGTGTGAATGGGAACTAGAGATGGTGCTGCAGATGAGATCTCCAAATACGAATGGTGACGCTATTAACCAAATGGAAGTCGCGCGACCGTATTTAACCTGCGGTCTTCGCCTGAATTGTATCAGTGGCCAAGTTATAACGATACTTACGATATTACTTCAAAATGTTCGTTCATATTCACATCAATATCTACTGTAAATTTATGCATCTAAGATGTATTTTCTTATCATCCAGTGCCTCATGTAAATATTATAATTCAAAGTCTGACACAGAACATTGGTATATTGTTTTAGTTCAGTCTTCAAAATGCGTGCTTCAATTGAGTGATCATCCAACTATATCACATTTTACGAAAATATGGCATTCTTCGCATTACTTTATTATTTGAATATTATGATAAATATAATTTATAAATTAAATATCTTATCCATAAAATATTTAATTTTTGATGTTCTTTCCTTTATGAGATATTTTTGTTTGATTTAAATTTGCATTGGCAGTTTTAAGTGCTAATAAGAGATATTTATAATGATTTTTATATGAAAATGGTAATTTTAAGTACAATCGTCTCTTAGGAAAACCGTGTAAAATTGTGCTACGTCAATATGTCGTAGCTGGATTCGAGTGGCCGTGAAGACGACTCCATTCCCTCCCGAACAACTGCAGGGACGAAGATGGGAGCGTTGGCGGGAAATGGCAATGGGTACGCCCGATCTAATAATTCAATGCAGCGGTTGCCAATCTTTTAGACATTGTGAACCATTAAGTTCGTAATTTAGTTTCGCGCAAAATTATCATATTTGTTAGAAGAAAGTAGGTATTGAAGAAAATGTCTGAAATTTTCATTGTTACAAGTTTAAAATTAAATTTATGTTAATTTTCTTAACAGTATCGATATTTTCAAACGATAAAAAATTAAATGAATTTTTTTGACTTATTGAATTTTATTAAAAATGCCTTAAAACGTTATGGTACAATTTTGGTATCCTAATGGAATGAGCTTAACATTGTAATACGTTTCCATAATAAATATGGAATTGTATCACAATGTAAATTAAAATAATAAAAACAATATGTTTTATCGCACATTATGGCAATGTCATGGAAAAATAATAAAATAAAACAATTTGGAAGATATATTTCAGCCCAACCCAGTCGTACGCAACGCCTTTGAGGTAGATGTCATGCAAGTCACAGAAGTATTTTGTGACAAATTAATTCGCAATAAGAGGTTCTTATTCTATTTTAAATATATTATAGCTTACACAAACTTATTTTTTCTTAAAAAATAATTAAACGAAGACAGCAAATTTAAATAATATTTGAATTTTTGCGGGACCATTAATTTTTGCAATCATCGATTACCCGCAGATTGCCAGTTGCTGGCCGCTAATTAAAAACATCTAAAGTCAGTTTTGTGGATAATCAGGTGACAACTCATTAATGTTCTTATAAAGTGACATTGAAAGTATCTGTGTGTTTAGTTGATTACGATTAAGAATGTTCGTGAGTGATGGTGTTTTGTATATATTTATCACATATTGGTAAGTGATGTTGATAATGATGCTTATTTATTTCATTTTCCCAATGTTTATCTTTCATGAACACTCACTTTAAGTTAAAGTAATTCGATCATGTACGTTGCATCGTCTTGAAAATCTTGCGTTTAGGTACAGGATTGCCGCGAAGGGAGACAAGAGATCGGCGACCAAAGATGAGCATCGAAAGCGCAGCCCGAGCAAGAAGCAACGGCGACATCGCCTGAACAACTCCAGCAGTCAGGATGCGACCGCAGTCCCTGCAAGCGCCTTGGGAACTCCACAGGTAGTCAGCATTGAGAGTCTTATTTTTGTAACAAGCGATACATTAGATTCACGGAGGGGGCGATGCACTTTGTGTTCGAACACCAAATACGCAGAGTTCCTGTTATCTTTGCAAGTCTTGATCTGAATAGCTGCATTCTGATTGGAAGTTATTCTATCTGCAGTTAGGAATGGAACGATATTTCTGATATATGTAGCTTGCTTTTGAGATAAAATCACATGCAAAAATTGCATAAAATTAAACATAATGTCTGAATATTGCCTGAATTGGTATTTGGGAGGAGGAGTCACTTGTCATCAGATTTGAAATTATCGTCTCAACCGGTCCCAAAAGTGAGCCACAGAACGATTTAAAAATAATGTTCTTTTGTACAGAATAACTGATGAGAGAGGTGGGGCTGGACCGTTGGGTGGTATTGAACCATGGTCTTGGCTGTGGCTCCGCGTAGTACAAAAGTCCTTTGGGAAAGTTCCGTGCAGGTGTCCAGTTTCTCTGTGATTCATAATTCGCATTACTTAATAAAGTGGGGAGACGGATGGGGATTCCATGCCTTCCGGAGGGTCCCAGTTAGGTCCTTGGCTTCGTCGTGGAAGGGCTCGTTATTCGTGGTTCATTGAGGATCTTGTCCCGGCACATAGAGTTACGCAAAATGACTCCGATTCCAACTCGGGCGCTTGGTATCCTCGAGCTGCCGTGAAGTTAGCTCGAAAATGTTTTTGCTACATATAAATATGTTGTGTGGGTGGGCAAACGTTGGGAAAACAATGCAACTACGTTTGGTCAAAATCCTAGATTTTTTCCGGCCATCATCACAGAGGTGGGCGGGAGGCGGGATAAGCTGAGGAGTAACATGGGTCGCGCTCTGGCGTATGCGGGTGTCACCCCAAAGCCATGCTTGACCACCCGGAGGGGGGTTGGTGATAGGGGCTCACCCCCACCGCTTGCGCAGGTGGACTGGGAGAACCCCCCGGAGGAGGTGGCCGACGCGCCGCGCAAGGCGAAGGGGCGGCGGGCGATGCGCGACGTGCTGTGGGCGACCAAGGCGGTGCCGATCGCCGGGAAGCACTCGGCCTCCAGGACCGCGGGCTACTACGAGAAGAAAATGGTAGGGCGTTGAGGAGGGACAGCTGCCACAACGGCCCGCGAGGATGTATGCGGCCTCAACGGCTATCGCCGCTCTCCGTACCTCGAAGGCTTTCGAGGGGGGGTTGACCCCAAAGATTTTCTATATTCTCACATATTTACCCCCCCCCCAAAAAAAGCACCGCACAGCCCATTACCGCGAGGAGACCAATCGTTTGCATTCTGTTCGGATTCCATCACGAGGGGAAAAAACTAGTGTTAAAACACCACGTACTTTCTGGCCTTTAGTGATGGTTATATAATACTGTTTATACAACAATTTCTCTCTGAATTAACGCATCTCAGTCACAATTTTTTGTAAAACAAGTTGTAGAACATTTGGCGCAAAAACTAAATATTTTAAAGCAAATATCAACACAAATTTGACAATTGTAACTGATTTTCATACTGCTAAATCATGTCACAACAATATGATGTAATTCACAGACATTCATCTGCCGAGAGACAGAGAACAAGAGAGAGAGAGAGAAAACGAGAACGAGAGAGAGAGAAAGAGAGAGAGAAAGAGAGAGAGAAAGAGAGAGAGAGAGAGAGAGAGAGAGAGAGAGAGAGAGAGAGAGAAAGAGAGAGAGAATACAAAAACCGAGAGAAAAAACGATAACGAGGGGGGGAGAGAACAACCGAGAGAAAACACAAGCAAGAGAAAAACCGACCGCGGGAGGGGGGAGGGGTAACGTTTCGCATAGTGATCCGAAAGTTATTGTATATGTATTGAAATTTGGATTAGTTGCTGATTTTCCAGGGCGCATCACTAGGTTCGTCAGTGAGCAGTTGTCTCCCATTAAAAGTATGAAAAAGTTTCAAAGTATCCCGGATTGTCTATATAGTATTTGTTTTTAATGATTTAATGATTTTAATGATGTTTCTAAATGCCTTACTTTTATTATAATTTATTTTCACTTTAAAAAGGATTTATAATTTAAGGATCGAGAATGTTTCCTGATTATTGTGTGGCCATATATCTAATCAGATAACACACAATATTTATTACAATAATCATTAATCGCTCTATTAAATAATTGAAGATCCTATACGAAAATCTCTAGGTACGAATAGCACGTTCCATTGCAACACAACTTAAGCTTTTGTAGATAGACTGTACATAATAAGGTCAAATATGCCAACGGTGAAAAAATACAAATATTTGCGTATATAAGATTTTCAGAAAATATGTTTAAGGAATTTTGTGGTGTTATCACCGTAAACCTTTTCATACGAATGCTGAATCCACGCATCTGAACTATTTTCTCCCTGATGCTTTCGTAATTCTATAACCTCACTTTTTCACCATTCTCAACATTTGTGAATGTCTTTAAACGAGATAAAGTGGCAAGATAAGACTTAACATTTTATGATTTTCCTGAGTGCAAATTTTATTTTAGTGCATGAGAGAAGCTCCAAAATTATCATCGTATGCTGGTGTTTCTTGTACCTCTGATGAGCGAGTGTTTGTGGATCATTTATTCATATTATCAAGGAATTTGTATTTGGATCCTGTTCTGACCAGCTGAATTAGATGAGCAATATTTCCATCATTAAGGCGGCTGGAATTTAATATTATTGTTCTTTCTGAAACTTTATAATTTTGTGTGTGAAAAAAGTGGTTCGTAAATTTCACCTTTAAGTTTCTACAATATCTAAAGGAAATCTAATATTTTCGTTAGAAAAAATCTAAAATTCACTATTTGATATGATGTTTTGACAGTGGGCTGACAATCTGCGTCTGATTGTACCCAACAAACCACGCCGCAGAAGACGCGACTACTCGCAAAGGCCCGTAGTACTAATTGTAAGTTTATTGATAAATTATTGGCGACACAAACTCTTTGATGCTGATTTTTTTAAACAAATTTCACATACTTACGGTTAATTTCGATTAGATTCTCTCATTAAACTGAGCAAAAATGTAGTATCGTTTCACGACATAAAAAGTTACTTTGAAAGTATTCGACCTACGTAACACATTTGTCTGAATTAATTCTACCTAACTGAATCTGAATCCCGAGTTAATTTTTTTCAGAACTACTAGTTTAATTACAGTAACAAAAAAGTTGTGTATTTGCGTGGAAACTCTATTTAAAATAGAATATTTATTTGCATGACATCGTAACAGGATAAGTTATCCGTATTTTTTAAATATTACTTTATTTACCGCTTCTCATTATTTTTTTGTCATTCGTGTGTTCTGAAAATCCGCCCGTCTGCCGTTAGCGCGTAAATTATATAGTTGACTGTGCAGTCTCATATCTTTTGCTCTTCTTGGAGATATTGAAATTGTAGCGCTATTTTATGTCGTATCTTTATTGCATAACATTTTATTGCATACAAACTTTAGGAATGTAATAATTTACAATTATGATCATGCTATTTTATTAGAACACATTACATTTTTATTGCAATTTTCGTACACTTCATAAGGCTGAGATGTCAGCGATTCTATTTGCACATTATTAAACACGTAGAGTTCAATTTTTTAAAAGGTATTCATCGGTATGATGAAATATTTTTGTCAGTTATACTCGTAGAATTGACGTTTATAATCGTTATATTGTTGTAAATTCTTTATGAGTCAACAAACTTGCTCAATACCATTAAAAACTGAATTAAAAAAACAAACTTAAATTTATTTTCGAATGACTCAGTTTGTAAATTGATCAACTTATTACTCAATGCTTAACTCAACTTATTACAAAATGCTTCACCTGTTGTCGAAATCTTATTTCTTGTGGACAATGGGCAAAAGCAGTCGGGCACAACAGGCTCATAAAATATCCGTAATTGTCCTCACGGTCGACATGTACATCTGGGTCAATCATGTTATGTGAATGTGAGTTGCTAAACAATTTAATCATGCCAACTTATTCTGCATACTTTCAGTTCAGTTATTAAGATGTGAAGAAACATAGTCCGAACGAGAAATGCAATTTTAACAAGTTTCAAGGAACAAAACTTTCGTGTAATTTCTCGTCATATTATTATTTATTATTTAGCCTATGCTGGCAATGCAACTGCACAAGACTCTAATTACCTCAGATCTTGTTACATTCTACAGAAATATAGTGACTATATATTTGGACATTTTTTTATGAGGATGAAGTTTTCTGAATAATAATGTCACAACAATATATGTAGACCTATATATCTACCACATTGAGTGCCCCCAGTACGAGGCGCATTGCTAATGTTCAAACTGTGGTACAGTATTCAGTTAACAATAAAAGTTATTTAAAGACCACCACATAGGTGGGAAAACATGAATCAACTGCAAGCCACGTTTCAAATACGATTTATAATTCACCCTAGGAGTTTATGACCTTCTGTCACTGCAGTCACTCAATGTCTTGAAATAAAGTTGCTAGAATTTCTTTATTTGCCAAGACTGTCGGCGGCCTCAAGGTCCCTTAGGGGGGTCTCAGGTGAGACCACCAGAGGCCTCATGACACGCAATCTGATAGACATGTTCACTATTTTCTTAAACCTAAAGATGTCTCGTTTCGGAATAATTTCTTTATAATGCATATAAAATAGTAAGTAAGGAAAAAGCCAGGGTAAACGTATCAAACGTGATAAAATACACTGTTTATGATTGAAAATTAATCCTGCGTTGCTTGAAAGAACAATTACATAGAAAGCACCTGCAAAAACATTTTCACCTTTTTTGTTGCCAATTTGATCTTTATAAACCAACTGCTGGCAGCATGGCAGTGCTTTTTTTCTTCGTGTAAAACTATAAGATCCAACGATTAAGTAATGAGACTGCGTTTTCCTGCTGTGTTGGCAACACTGCCGCCTCATTTACCGATTTTCAACATTCTGCATTTGTGTTTACTGCAGGGAAAAATATATAGATTTCTCTTTTAATGGTCTTTTAACTGCCAAACATGCTGCAATGTTGCCAACAGTTGAATTAATGTCTTTTAATAGTTGTTAAGTTCTAAAATACTTCAGTATAAAGGTTTTTGAATGCTGTTTTAATTGGGGGATGTTGTCGGCATGTTTTTCCAGCCGCCTTACATTTTGGAAATGTGTTGATTTTCCAGCTGCGTGAACATGAAGGGGGTTGTGGCTGTGCGAAGTTACTCGGAAGGGGTAGAATATTAAGACAAGCGCATTCCCACGTCATCAATAGATTAAGCAAAGCTCACAATCGAAAGTTACCGCCATCCTTATACTATCAAGATATCATCTTGAAGTCGCTTATCATTCGTGAATCAAGAAGATGCCTTCCTTGGCGGCACGTGCTGACAATGTTAACGCAGCAAAAAAAACAGTCTCGTTACTTAAGAGGAGTTGGAACGTTGTATGTAATTAAATATTGTTTAAAATACTTTTGAGGCATTTATTTCTATAAGTGTCATTAACGTACCAATGTTGACAATATATGCAATATTAGCCATATTAGATGTATTTAGTAAGAAAGTTTGATTAGTTTGAATTCATGTGCTAAAGCAATATAATGATATGTAACTTCCATTTGCACAGTTGTCGTCGAAGGACTTAAATAAATGACATTGATTTGACTAATACAGGGTTCATATCGAACAACGATTTTTTACTTAATGAAATAATTTATTGGTTTCTCTTTTTATAATTTTTCGACATTCATAAATTGACCTACGAGTATCTTTTTCTTCTCGATGGGTGAACATTTCGTTTTGAAGAATATTAACACAGAAATTTGAACCCCAGATAAAACTGATATGTCTTCAAGAGATTAAAAATCTCAAATTTATCAACAAGTAATCATAAACAATCGTCTAGTAATATTTCAATAATGTAATGTAATGACAAAACTATGTACGCATGTTATCGATTTCAAGAGATTTCATTTTAAGCCACATGTGTCTTCATTTGCTTTTGAGACACTGAAATTTATACGTATGGTAACATTTTTACCGTAGAAATTATCATTTGACCGAGCTTGATAATGATTTGAACATGTATCGAAAAGCTTGCTTTATA